ACGAGGTCTATGCTCGTTAGGAGAACACGCAAGTACCAATCATGGAACCTTCTCATTCCATGTGGTAGGCGCTGGATGTCCTGGTTTGGTAGAAAGGGCTTGCCTCTTTCATATGTTTTTGGGCAATCCTTTGACCACTTGATGGCATCAACATTTGGATACTGCTTTGCTATTTGGTGGAGTTTGCTAGTGATGGCCTCCTCAGAAGCCCGTGATGGGACTTTTTTAACTTGGTTCTCAGGCTTGAACTGGTCATGGGCATACCACTTGTGCACCGACGAGACGTCTTTCATCAGAACATAAATTGGCCTTATGGTGATTGGATACTTCTTTTAAAGTTCCCATTCAGGCATGTCCTTATCTTCTTGTGCATCACCTTTTTCAGGAGGCACTCGTTGTTCATGTATCGACTGCGCTTATTGAGAAGACTGTGGCATCTCATCGTGCACTTGCTCAGTATGAGCTGGAGAAGGTTGTGGCTTATCAGGCACATGCTCGCTAGGAGGCGGGGAAGAATGTGGCATCTCAGGAATGTGGTGGTCAAGAGACAGTGAAAATATCTCCCCGTCCTCAACAACTCGCTCCAAATTTGAGAGAGGAGGAGGCAGCGAGAAGCAGTCAATATAATGTCCCATTTGTGCCAGAGGATGAACTGCCCCATTATGTCTCTGAGTAACACCAGCCCCTCGGGAGTTGCGTAGTCTATCCTCCACTGCATGAACTCAGGCTTCACGGTATGCACCTCGACCCTAGTGTAGTCTGATGGTATCTTATAATTGTGGTGTAAGCCACCGGGAGGATGTGCCACACCCATTGCCACCTCCATCACAATGTCCTATCGGCCGCTGAGAAACACCAAGGTGCAATTAGTTGGTTCCCATATGCGATCGACGGGGGTTGTGGCTGCAGTGGAACCTTGGCTGCTAGGAACTTTCGGAGGGCTGCCAACTAATGCCAGTTCTCCTAGTGGCGTCATTAATGTCCGTGGCTCCATAGACAGTCCTTGCTCCTCCAGCGCCTTCGCAACTAGAGCCTTCACTTGGAGCTCAAGATTAGCCTCCCGGTCTCTGCCATGTTTCTTGTACATGTGCCTGTCCTCTTCAAATCCGTGCTTCTAGGTCGTTCTTTTCCCTAGCCCCCTGGTGCGGCCTGTGTGCTCGTTGTTTCCCAAGCTAAGGCTAAGCTCGTCCCTCTCTCTGGAAGGATTGAATGAGCCCTTCTCCTTGTCTTCAACATATTTCAGTATCCTTGATACTGCCTCTTGGGTCTCCGGCTTATCAAACTTAAGATTACCGCCCGATGATTCTGTACTCCTGGCATATATCCAATTCCTTGAGCGTACCTTTAAATTCTTCACATCGATATTCCCAGAAGCTGCAACCTCTTCGTCCATCTTCCTAAATTGCTCTTCCTTGGCATAGTAGCCACCGGGGCCTAGATGATGGTGTTGTTTGTCCCTCTTTATCAGCTCGGTGTTATGGGCACTGAGCTCCAATGCCTCCGATGAAGTCTTCTGAGCCACGAGCTCCTCCCATTGACTAGGAGTTATATTGCCGAACTTATTGAAGGGAGTTAACCCCTTTTGGATATACTTCTTGTTGAGCTCCGACCTCCAACGTCGGAATGACTCTCCCATGATCTTGAAAACATTTTTTTACCAGTTCGTGCTTACCCTCCGAAAATCTAAAGTTGAGCTTCAGCTGCTTATCCCATAGTTCATCCTTTTTCTTCTCTGGTACCTCTTTCCAGTTAGGGATTGCTAAGTTCAATTTATCTCTTACTAGGGCCCCGATCGCATTATGGAATCGTCCTCTGAATTCCTTCGGCTCAAGGATCTCCCCTACCAGCCTGACCTCCGTTATCACATAGCATGCCTTATCTGGATATTGGTTTGCTTTTCTATCCTCTTATTTCCTCTTTCGCTTGGTAGTCGTGTTCGTGGTTGTGTCTTGAGGTTGGGGAGCAGAGGCCTCAATGTCCGTCTCTGTGGCTGTTGCCTCTGCTCTCCTTTCCTCTACTCCGTCTTGTTCGACGAGATGTCACGGACGTCGACGTCGTGTTTTCTGAGTTTTAGGAGGGACCTATATATACGACAGGTCAAAGTGTTAGCAGAGGTAACACAGCCAAAGCTTTAGCAAAATTTACAAGCTAAGGCTTTATCCCTACCTCCTCATTCGGGTCAAAATACTTGTCCAAATCTTCCTCCGTTGGCCTCCTTCTGGCTTCACATGGGAAAGGATCCTCGGGACTTACATATCCCTCTTCTGAGTCCTCATCATCATCATTCTCTTCTTCTTCGCCTTCAGCAGCCTCTCCTGCTCTTCCTTCTGCTCCCCCTTCCTCCTCGTCACACTGCTCCTAAGTAAGCATCACTTATAGATCCTTTTCTAACTTATTTTTGAACTGCTCCTGAGTAAGCTGGTCCTCTAGTGCTTGCTCCTCATAGGTTGGCTGCTCATCATGTTCGGGGCATCGGGCTGCACTGTCCGGTGTCCACTACATTATTTCGCTCTTTGTTCTAATAGATGCAAGAAAGTCTGCTTTAGGTACGCGAGAAGGTATAAGAAATCAAAAAGGTCTATAAACTAAAGTAGTCCTATAAAACAACAATATATCAAAAAACGAGTAATAGCAGTAGTAGAGGCCTCAGAAACATGTCAATCATCATTTGATCATGAACTTGGAGCATCAAGGCATCATAGCAGAGAAGAGAGGAGAAGGTAATGTAGGGTGGCTGATAATGATGCCAAGTTCCTCACAAGTTCATAATCATCAGCTCATATTCCATATAATGTATGGACTTGGATAATTTCATCAACGACAAAACAAAGGAGAGGAGAGGAGAGGGGAGATTTGGGGAAAAAAACAACAGCTGCTTAGCAAACATAGAGCAGCAGCTGATGGCAAAAATAACCAAAAAAATAGAGGAGGGGAGATTTTGACGAGCATCATCCTCACCTGAATTGCTTGGAATTGAGCAGGAATTGAAACTATATGAATAAGCATTACTGAACAACCAGAAATCCAGGATAACACAAATGAATTAACTAGAAATTACATGTAAAATGATATAGAAAACAGAATCACGCATGCTAGAACAGTACAAAACATACTAGAAATTACATGCAAAATGATATAGAAAACAGAATTACGCATGTTGGAATAGTACAAAACATACAAACGAATTTAGTTAGATCTTAGTTTTCTTTAAAGTAAAATTAAGTTACCTAGTCTACATAACATTTTGTTATCGTAAGCATTATGGCACAATTGCATATCTTCTATCTTCTAGTAGATTCTGAATCTGAAATTAAACAGATAAAAATACAGTCTAGTGCTCTGTTTGTCACTATATAGTATTAAATTCACTGACTACATCCATCAAGAAACAACAACAGGAGTAGGGAAACCCCCATTGGACAAGGAGCAAATAACTCTTATGCCAAACTGTCTCACAAATAAAGTAGGTAACTAAGGAGTTATAGCTGGTAGTCCCTACATTGCAAAACTTAAGGCATTGATAGACTTCGAGGCATGGTCTCAAAAACTAGATATAGACTCTTAATTTCTTATAATGCTCCAGAACCCCAAATATTGGCTAAAAGTATATAAGGGCATGTAGAAACCAAACCGAGAATAGCACTGCCCATGCACAAGAAAAAACTATGTCCAGCTGCACACCAGCAATACCCAAGGTAGTACTACAGCTCCAAAGCTGAATACCAGCTAAATTCAATTGAACTTAGTACTACTATGATTTTACGAAGTTCATCACCAATTACTGATTTCTTTCATAGTCCTAAGTACTACAATAAATTCACTGTACAAAGCTTAAAAAAGTACAGCATGTCTCTGAATGCCAGTGGTAACCAATAGTTACTACTGACAACAGTGGTACACTGATTGGTCCAACAATTGATGCAAGCTGTTGTTTACCAGTGGGCCAATAGCACATTTTATTGTCGTGACATAGCTTAACAAAGTACAGGTTTCTAATTGTCAGTGGTAACCAATTGGTTACTGCTGACAACTTTGGTGCATTGATTGGGTCAAAAACTGGTATATGTTATTCTTTACCAGTGCCCCAATGTTCATGCCTGAGAATTAAGTTTATAATTCTAGCAAGTCCAGGGTTTTGAACTAATACATCTAGATGTCAATAACCAATCTACCTCTAGTCAACCTGGCTTGCTTGGAAAAAAGGGACTTTTAGTTTTAATAAAAAAACATTTGGTGTTGCCAAATACAGACCAGGTTATAGACCCTAGTCACCTTGAAGAGTTTCCTTACTATTCCCACATTCATGTCTATAACTTGTCAACATAGTTTGCTTGAAGGAATGCTGAAATAGGAACTTATGTTTCTAACCAATCACTTTTATCTACTTCAATCATGTCAATTCTGAACGCAAGTTCATTTACACTGCTAAACAGAAGGACACAATAGTTCCTTTCATTGCCCAGCATAGACTATGTAGCCCTCAGGCATCAACAGTGTTTGAACTATTTTGGATTAACCTCCAATACATGTACTGCAAATCATGGCGACTAGGATTGGAGTATCAATAAAAAATATAGATATCCAAATATAATCAACTAATTGACCCTAGCTGCATTTGTATTATGTTTACTACTATTATGTATCTTAATATTTGTCTTGTAATTATATGTGTGCATTGTTCTTTCCTAATGCACCTTTGTTGAATGGAACTTAGAGAATTACTGCTCCACATAAAAAATTGTTTTCAGCATCCATTTCTGCAATTCATGGATTCAGTATTGGTTTAAACATATTGATAAAGTTTTATTATGTACGCACAATATGTCATTGAACTTGCATGCAGTACCAGATCAACTTGAGCAGAAAATGACTGTAACTTGAACTGGTGCGCATGTAGACAAGCAAAGCATCAGGACATCAGCCATGTGCTACATAAAGGTCTGTTCCCGGTAGCAGCAACACAATGAAGAAATGGCTTAATCATGAGTAGAAGTATTAAATCAAGCAGCCACCATATTGGCAGCTAAAACATGTGAACAACAAAAAAACAAGAGCATGACACAGCTCTGGATGCACACGATTACCCTATGATATCATCACATGGTATCACTGCCCTTAGGCAACTAGTAAGCAAGCAAAGTACCAAACTCATACAAGCGCGCGTGCGGCGGCGGCGGCAGGCCGTCAAAATCGGCATATGCTCATGTGTTACCATTTAGGACTAAATAAAGACCCAAGGCAGGAAAGTTTATTCTTTCCAACTGAAACTTGAACTCTATGCACTAAAAAAAGGAACAACAACATCAGATTCTCTGCCCACTTTCATAATCACAAAGCACAAAGCTCGATTATAATTTATAAAGTATGCTAGGAGCGATAACTGTAATGTTCAGAACTGTTTTGATAATTATTGAAAGCGTTCATAAGAAAACAAGAAGACAGAAAAGTAAATAGTGCAGACTAGCTACCTAAAAATGCTACTGAAAGCAGACAGCAAGCTCCAAAGAGTGGTTTTACTATCACAATTCATCTATTTAATGATACCTCAATCTGATACCTCAAAGTAAAATATCAACAAGGAAGATAACCAACAACAAGATCTAAATCTAACCTACAACAGCTAAATGGAAATAATCTCACATCAGTTTATAATCTCAACTTTTTCAAAGGAATATTGAACATTGATCTTTGTTTCTATGCAGTGTTCTAAGACCATTTCTAGGATCGCATAGGCACAACCAAGTGAAAAGCATGGTTCTAGCAGCGATCGTAATTCATACCTGGTATGTCGGCTCTGAGGTAGTACTCGGAGTCGGTCTCGGCCCAGTCGACGGTGGTCCTAGCGTTCCCGTGGCGGAGCGCGGCGAGCAGCACGTCGGACTCGAACTCCCACAGCGGGAACGGGTCGGCTGGGTCAAAGAACTTGCCGAACAGGAACGGGCTGAACAGGGACCCGTCCGCGAACACGGCCCTCGCCACGGCGTCGGCGCTGGCGCCCTACAGGAACCCACGCCTGAGCATGGGCACCAGGGCACGGAGGTAGGGCGCGGCGGAGGTAGGGCATGGAGGAGGTAGGCCACGGCAGAGGTAGGGCACGAAGGAGGTAGGGCGGAGGTAGGGCACGGCGAAGGTAGGGCACGGAGGAGGTAGGGCGCGGCGGAGGTAGGGTACAAAGGCGGCGGAGGTAGGGCGCAGCAGAGGTAGGGCACAGAGGAGGTAGGGCGGAGGTAGGACGCGGTGGAGGTAGGGCACGGAGGTGGCGGAGCTAGGGCGCGGCAGAGGTAGGGCACGAAGGAGGTAGGGCACGGAGGAGGTAGGGCACGGTGGAGGTAGGGCACCGAGGAGGTAGGGCGGAGGTAGGGCGCAGTGGAGGTAGGGCACGGAGGCGGCGGCGGCGGAGAAAAACTTGGCAGGCTGACGGTGTCGTGGAGAAGAAAGCGCCTAGGACTTAGAATAATTTCGGCCTCCCGAGCTTATATACCGAAGGTCATTTGTAGAGGCGGTTCCTGAGTAAGCTGTCCCTAAAAAATCGATTTGTAGGGGTGGTTCCTGAGTAAGCTGCCCCTAAAAATATTTTTCAATTTATTTTAATTAATAATTTTGTAATTTATATATAAAGAACACACTGTAAATTTATATAATACTTTTTTGATTATTCTATATATGTATAAATAAAAATATATATAAACAATTTCATTATATATATATACAGATATAATTATATATTTTGTTCTTTACAAAAAGAATATTTTAAAAATTGAAAATTTAAAATTTAAAAAAAAACTAAAACAATTTCATCTCCACTAAATGACCTTAAATGAAAATTTTGTAAACATCAGAGTTATAGAACTCATCAAGATGTACAACTTATATTTTGGTTATCTTTTCATTTGACCAAATTTGAACAGTTCAAATTTTGAATTTCAATAAATGTCAACTTCAAATATGATTTTGAAACCATAAATAATTTCAAATAAGAAAGTAATGAACATAAAAGTTGTTGAACACATCACTATCTACAACTTTTATTTTGGTCATCTTTTCATTTGACCAAATTTGTATATTTCAAATTTTGAGTTTCAATAAATATCAACTTTAAATAAGATTTTAAAACCTTAAATTATTTCAACTACAAAAGTCGTGAACATAAAAGTTGTTGAACTCATCACTATCTACAACTTTTATTTTGATCACTTCCTTATTTGATAAAGTATTAGTAAACATTGTTCACAAATTCACATATTTCTCATAGTTTCATGAACTATATGAGAGACATGTTGATTTATGAACAATATTTACTATCATTTTGTCAGATGAAGAAATAACCAAAATAAAAGTTATAGATCTTGATGAGTTATACATTTTTGGTATTCATCACATTTTTAGCTAAAATCGTTTAGTGTTTTAAAATATTGCTAGAACTTGTCATTTTTTAAAATTTAAAATTTTGAATTGCTCAAACATTGTCAAACGAAAAGAATGATCAAATCAACATAGTAACTTGATAGCGCATGATTTTAGAAAATTTTAGAAAAAAATCATCACATTTGGAGTTAGTACGAGGGAGAAAGACTAGTTACAAATTTTACCCAGAGATTAAAATGAAAAATCACAACTGTTCATGATGATCAATTATGAACAAGTGTGATTTCCTCTTTTTAATCTGTGGCTGAAACTTATAACTAGTTTTTATCTCTCAAAGTAACTCCAAATGTGATGGTCTTTTTTCTATTTTTTCAAAAATCATGCTCTAGCATTTTAGTCTGGTCATCTATCTTTATCAATAATTTTGGACAATTTAAATTTTGAATTTTAGAAAATGACAACTTCAAACATGTTTTTCAACCGCTAAATGATTTCAGCTATTAATGTGATGAATATAAAAGTTGTATAACTCGTCAAGATCTCAAACTTTTATTTTGTCAACTTGTCATTTGATCAAATTTGAACAATTCAAATTTTGAATTTTAATAAATGTCAAATTCAAATAAGATTTTGAAACCTTAAATTATTTCAACTACAAAAGTCGTGAACATAAAAGTTGTTGAACTCATCACTATCTACAACTTTTATTTTGGTCACTTCCTCATTTGACAAAGTATTAGTAAACATTGTTCACAAATTCATATATCACTCGTAGTTTCATGAACTATATGAGAGACATGTTGATTTGAGAACAATTTTTACTATCACTTTGTTAGATGAAGAAATAAACAAAATAGAAGTTAAAGATCTTAATAGGTTATATATCTTTGGTAGTCATTACTTTTTCAGCTGAAATTATTTGGTGTTTTAAAATTTTGTTAGAACTTGTTATTTTTTTAAATTTAAAATTTTGAATTGCTCAAATTTTATCAAACGAAAAGAATGATCAAATCAACACAGTAACTTGATAGGGCATGATTTTAGAAAATTTAGGAAAAAATTGTCACATTTGGAGTTAGTACGAGGAAGAAAGACTAGTTATAAATTTTATCCACAGATTAAAAAAAATCACAACCGTTGATGATGATCAATGATGAACAATTATGATTTCTCTTTTTAATCTGTGGCTGAAATTTGTAACTAGTTTTTATCCCTCATACTAACTCCAAATGTGATGGTCTTTTTTCCTAAATATTTCTAAAATCATGCTCTATTATTTTAGTCTGGTCATCTATCTTTGACACTAATTTTGGACAATTCAAATTTTAAATTTTAGAAAATGACAACTTCAAACCTGATTTTAAACCACTAAATGATTTCAGTTGTAAAAGTGATGAATATAAAAGTCGTATAACTCGTCAAGATCTCCAACTTTTATTTTGGTCAACTTTTCATTTGACCAAATTTGAACCGTTCAAATTTTGAGTTTCAATAAATATCAACTTCAAATAAGATTTTGAAACCTTAAATTATTTCAACTACAAAAGTCGTGAACATAAAAGTTGTTGAACTCATCACTATCTACAACTTTTATTTTGGTCACTTCCTTATTTGATAAAGTATTAGTAAACATTGTTCACAAATTCACATATCACTCATAGTTTCATGAGCTATATGAGAGACATGTTGATTTGTGAATAATGTTTATTATCACTTTGTCAAATGAAGTCAAATGAAGAAATAACCAAAATAGAGGCGGCTCCATCCCCAACCGTCAAAAAAAAAATGAGCCGTTGCTACGAATCTTTTTTGCAGTACCGTTGCAATAATGGTGTCCGATCCATTGCTCTTAATATAAGTTGGAGCTGTTAATTAGAACGGATATGATTTGAAATGCTAAGCGTTAACGGCATGCTCTTAATCTAAGTATAAGTCGCCCAGTCATCTAACTAGTTGGGCTAGTTATCATTTTGTTAGAGAGCATCCCGATCATTTATTTGTGTACTAGCAGTCTGTTCGTTTGGCTGGGCTTGTTCGTCGCTGGTTCGTAAAGAAGTACTGTTGACTGGTTTGATGTGAGAGAAAAATACTATTTTGACTGAAAATTTACGATCGTTTATGACAAGCACAAGCCAACCGAACAGGCTGTAGCGCTGCACCAGTGGAACTGGGGACCCTCCTGTACCTCTCCTATATTGCAATTAATAGTAGCCATTGTTGTCTATGTTTATGCATTAATAAGACACTACTCGAAAAACTCATATCACTGTTGGTTGTTTTAGAACCGAAAATGATAATGTATCAATACTGGTTTATGGCTTGCGTTATTTTTCATGTTTCTACTAGCGTTTTTAGCAACCACTGGTATCAAGGCCATTTGAATTACATGCGATTTTATTGCAATTTTTTGCAGAAGTTCAGTTTTAGGATCGAACTTAGAACCTCAGTCGTCACGCGTTCCCCCCACCTTCCATACCGCTTTACCCCAAAGTCAGTTGTGACTTAACGGCAGAAACATTCCCCTCGCATTCATTCTACCAGATTTTGAAATGAAGATTTGAGGCCCTAAACCGAATTTAAGTGGAAAAAGTTTTAACTAGAAAGTTTTAGATCTCGTCAAGATCTACAACTTCGCTTCTGATCATTTTTCCATCCAAGGTCAATTGAGAAATTCAAAAAAAATATGAATTTTAAAATCATAAATCTTAAAACATAATTTTCGGGGCCTAAATGGTTTCGAAATAAAAAAAGTAGTCGACTACGAAGTAGTAGCCTTTTTAAGTGCTACAAATTTCCTTTAGATCATTTATCCACCAAGATCATTTAAAAAATCAAAAAAAAAATTAAATTATTTGTAGTGGCACTAGGTTAAAAAACCATAAGTGTAAATGCATTTTTAGTGGTAGTTTTCTTAAGTCTACCCCTCGTGTAAATGCATCTTGACTGGTTTTTAACTTTAAAATAATTGTGGATGGAGAAATGGCATAAACCAAAGTTTTAGTTCTCAAAGAGATCTAAACCTTTCCGGTTTTAAAGTTCTTTTATTTTAATTTATTTAGCATCTTAAATATGCATTACAATGTTCACTAAAGTGAATTCAAAAGGAACACACATGTACTTTGTCATAACTGACTCTAGGTGCAGTGGTAAGGGAAGTAACACACGAGGCCAAGGTTGTGGGTTTGATCTCCAGCAACCGCATGCACAAGTATTTGCGTCAAAAAAAATTGCGACACGTGATCATGTGGGGCTTACTGGTGAGTCTAGAACAAACTTTTCTATTCCAATTTATAAATTCTAGAAATGATTTTTAGAGACTTCTAGGATCCGAACGGCCTCTAGAAATCGGACGGCCTACCTCAAAGGATCGATTTCTAGAGACGCATAGGTATAGGCAGCTGGAATATCTGCCTTTGCAAATTATTTCTAACCACCTCTAAAATATCTATACTCTGTAGCAGTGAGTGCCCTCCTGTTGGTTTCAGTGCACTCTCATTTCTTTTGTTTCCAGCCTAGAAACAACACAAGCCCTTCTATAGTACCCATGGCAATGTGCATGATTGGGCCGGCAATCTCTCGTAAATGTCTTAGAGCAGGGCCATTAATATGTTCGTGATGCCTATGGGCTACGGCCTTCTCACCGTGATTCTGCTAGGAAGCTATGGACTTGGCCCGTTCATCTGCGCGCGAGAAGAAATGTGTGTGACGGGCCGCCATCTGCAGCCAGTAGCACTTACATACCGGCCCACGTTTCCAACTCAAACTACCAAGCATGTAGGTGGGCTGTGGATAATAAAACGCTTCCTCAATAAAAAAATAAAAAAAGGTGGGCTGCGGATAAATTGTAATTGATGAAGCCCAATCCTTAAACAAACAAATTAACAACAATGATTCAGGATTATGGTCCTTGTCAAATACTTTTTGAAATGCAGAAATCCCAAATCGTACAATAATTTTACAGGAATAACATAAAAATGGAGAAAAAATTCTCATGCTCCAAATAGAGCCTTGGGGGTGTTTAGATGCCGGGACTAAAGTTTAAGAGATGTCACATCGGATGTCACGTGGGGTATCGCATGTGGTTGTTCGAATACTAATAAAAAATAAATTCTGAAGCCCTCAAGAATCCACGAGCGAATTTATTAAGCCTAATTACTCAAATCAAAGACACGTTATCAGTAGCACAATATTGTCAAATTATGGACTAATTAGGCTTAATAAATTCGTCTCGCAAATTAGTCTCAATTTGTGCATTTAGTTTCGTAAATAGTCTATATTTAATACTCCATGTATGTGTCCATCATTTGATGGGACAGCGACTAAAATTTAGAGATAAAACCAAACACATAGTATATTTGAATTTGGAACGTGAATCTCTCCCTCGTGAGTCTGTAGTTGTAAGGAGATTGTTAAAAGCAGAATCCCTGTATACCTACTACATGGCATGGGCTTACAAAGCCTCTAGCGTTCGAGATTACGGACACTAGAAGATGGACGGCTAAGGGGCTGTTCGGATTATGACCAGATTATTATAATCTAGATTATGTGTAGGAATTATAATTGAGATTACAGATTTTAACAATCAAAGTGTTTGAATCCTTAGATTATTATGGTGGATTATTGTTGGTTAAAGTGAGAAATAACTATAATCACAAAAATAAAACAGGTCTCATCTACTCTTCCCGTCCTGAAATATAGTGCATTTTGACTTCTAAAATTTGTACTCCCTCCATACTAAAAAATAAAGTCGTTTTGGACAGCGACACGGTTTTCAAAGCATAACTTTGACTATTTATTTTTAGAAAGATATTTATCAAAAAGTGATATACGTAAATTTTTGTGAAAATATTTTTCAAGACAAATCTATACATATGGTTTTCACATTTCCAAACTCAACAACTTAAAAGTTATTCATGATTTTATATTCCCAATGTTTGACCCAAGCCTTGTCCAGAACAACTTCATTTTTTAGTATGGAGTGAATACCGAAATATAGTGCATTCTACGGGTCTCAATGCCTAGATTTGGCAAAAGTTTATTAAAAAGAAAACCATAATTTAAGGAGAAACATCTTAATTGGTATTAATCTCGAGTACATAAGTCATTTTAGGATTTTCTTAAGTTGTTTTAAAATGTTTGGAATGCACTATATTACAGGACGGAGGGAGTAGATTATAGTATTATTATAATTACAGGTTTAACTATATTAATCCACCTTTTGATCTAGCCTCTTTGGATCACAATTAGATTTTTTAGCAGATTATTACACAATGGATCAGATATATGCATAACATGTGACATCATTTCATTATTAGAGGGTTGGGGTAGGTGATTAATTATTTTAAACCTCAAAAGATTAGGAATGTGTTATTTCAACATTTTTTAATTTTTATTTTTGCGAGTGTCGACGAAATATGGTCGGCAGTCTACCTAGGGGTATACCCAAGGTAGTAGATTATCGGCAGACAGATGCGCAAGCCACAAACAAGACGATGACGCAAGACAGACACAAGGTTTTATCCAGGTTCGGCCGCCAAGAAGGCGTAATACCTACGTCCTGCGTCTGATTTGTATTGTTGTATGTCAATGAGAGATGTTTTTTAGAGAGGTCCCCTGCCCGCCTTATATAGTTCGGGGGGCAGGGTTACAGATCTGGAAACTAATCCTAGCCAGTTACAATTGCCATATGTGGTCGGATAAGGATTCCTATTCTAACCGACCAGGATCTTGATTGATCGCCAAATCCGCCTTGACTCCTTGCGCGGGACTCCGATCAGGTTAACCGGGCCACACGTCGTCTTTTGGTGGACCGGACCCACCGATCCGGGCCAGCCCAAGCTTAGTCATAAGGGTTAGGGGTTAATACCCCCACAGCTAGTCCCCGAGCACCATGTATTATGCTGCGACACGCCATTTTAACCTTCTCCGACAAGTAAGGCTTGAGTCCTTAACATCTCTGACCACCGTTGTCGCCGGAGAAGTAGGTTGTCCGAAGAATATATGGTGCTCTTAAGAAAAACGAAAAAGATTTCCGTCCTGGGAAGTGTGCCCACTTGTATTTCTGAACAGAAATGTAAGTGCTTCTTGGAGCGTAGCGTCCTTGATCATCAGAGGCGTAGGGGTCGAAAAACAAACACATTCACCGCAAGGTGAAGTGTGCCCACTTAGTCTCCGAGCCTGGTAGTAGGTGACGTAGGCACATGGTGCCAGTGTCTGAAAAGAATTCCCAATTAAGTTGAGAACCCAATTGTCGTACAAGCAATACGAGATGCTCCGGCAGGTGCATCGTACCGATGTAGTCCCCGAGCTTACTGGAAGGAGAAGTATGAGCCTTGTAGCAAGGTCTAAATAAATGTCTCTCAACTGTATGTGAGTACAAATCACATGTAGCCGAGAAGAACAATCTCCGAGCAGTGGTCGGGACAGTCCCCGAGCACATCAGTAGCCGGAGCAGTCCCCAAGCGTGGAAGTAGTCGGAGCAGTCTCCGAGCACGGCAGTGGTCGGAGCAATCCCCAAGCACGGCAGTGGTCTAGGCAATGCCCGAGCACGGCAGTGGTCTAGGCAGTCCCCGAGCACGGTAGTGGTCTGGTCCATCATTGAGCTCAAGATATGCAGCCAAAAAAAAGAACGCCGCTTGTATTATTATGTGGTGTATTTATTTATCTCCTTACTCTGTCAAGTCCAATCTGCCACGTCTGGTCAAAAAAGCAGACGGATATAACATATCACTCTGCCTTCTTACTCTTTTCGGCAAGCGATTAAGCTTGGCGCCTGTATGGAGGTGCGTCAGTGTGGGCCCTCTCACATTATCAATGAAGAGGCGCGTACACTAGAAACGAAGAGGCGTTTGTTGGCGAGATCTCGAGGTTGTGAAAACAACCGTCATGCGGCAGCGTCATGCACGTCTCCCAAGAATCTCGGCCCGGATTTAAACGACGGAGCCCTTGGTTATTTATAATATAGATTTGGTAAGTTACTTTTACCGATCCCCATTGTCATTCACCGCCGCAACCTTCTTCTTCCTCTGCGCGAACCCTACTCCTCCGAAAATCACCACCAATCCTCCTCCACCGCATCCACCCTCTTAACAAGGGCAGATTAATGGCGAAGAGAAAACGCCCGAGAAGAAAGGCGGAGTCATGGCGAAGGAGTGGTGGAAGTCAAGGAGCAATGAGCGAGACCATCGAGGACCTCGTCGCCATGGGAGTGCTCCA